CTATGATATTGTTATTATCATCCTCACTATTACAATAATTTGACAAAAGACAATCAGACCATAAGCTCCATGTTGACAGGGGACCTAATTATCTTGCTCTCTGCTGTACCCCTAGTGTCTCACTGAGTGCCAGGGATAATTGTATGGTCTATAGAGAGATATTTGTTGAATGAAATAAAGTTATATTTTCTAATTTTTCTATAATGAATATGCATTTCTTATATAACAAAGTACACATATTATGATTGCAACTATGTAAAAAAATAAATATATCCGCCAATATGCAAACTACATCTTATTAAGGTGGTAGAATTAAGAGTGGTGTCAACTTCTCAGACTTAAAAAATATTATCATATATTCTTCAGTTATTAAAAATAAATCTTCCCATGGTGTTTCCTTAGAGAACATTTTTTCATTTGAAAGCTTTTAACTGAGAAAACAGGTTATACATATGTAGGATTCATGACTAGAAAAGAAACATGGGTGTGTACATACTAAGTTGGTACATTGTTGGAAATATCGCATTTGTCATTTCATTGAAATTACCCTTGCTTTGATCTCCTTAATAATAAAAACATTACAGAATGACAGAAAAAATTAAATAGCAAGAAGGGAAGAAATAATGTTGCTAAAATCAAGAAAAATTAACTGCCAATGAAAAAGAGCACCAAACTAAGAAATACAAATATGTTCACAAATAACTTCAAGATCCATAGAACAAATTTAATGCATGTAGCATAAAGTATTTGATAATTCTTTGCTATCTTTAATTGTATTATAATATATAATACATTTTACCCATATTCATAATTTAAAAAGAACTCAGGTATATTTCTTTGCAAAGTATCCTAATATTTTCTTGTATTTTGATATTTTAGACAGATAAACATAGACTGATGCAACTACATGTACACTAAAATCTAACCATGTTAAACAAAAAAAAAGAAAAAAGAAAAGAAACACCCAACATCATGAAAATTATTCATGGAAAAAAGAGAGAGAGTAATGTACTTATGAAGTAAATGTACATTATCTTTGGATAGTAAGACTTTTTTACAGTTTGTAGCTTTCCAAATTTCTATTATTTTTATAATACAAATAAAAAGTGTCTGCAAAATGTGCTCAAATACATTATTGCCATCAAGTGTTAACTGGTAGCATGTTACCTTAGATGGGCAGTTTTTAGGCCGCAAAATAGAATGAACTAAATAATACAAATACAAACTTAAATCCCTCTATTTAAACTAAGTCTGACAAGAAAAGGAAAGTACTCTTTGAAATAAAATAAGACTCAAGTTCTTACACTTGATAAGTGTATAAGATAACTTGATAAACCCAGATAAGTGAGTAACAGCTTTTAACCACTGACAGGAAAAAGACACCACAAAGTAATTTTCTAAAATCAACACTACTAAGTTATTATATGATATACACTCACACCCAAAAGAGGTATTATCAGAAGCCCTCAATCTAAAAAAAAATGTGCTCATAATGTATATGTTGAGGTAAATCGATGTACAGATCTTAATTTACACTCAAAGAAATGCATTTTAAAGTAAAATATATCTAGATCATTTAAAAAAAAAGAAATGCATTTTAACAGCTTTCAAAAAACAGTAAATACCTACACAGCTAATAACATTTCTCATATCTGAAAAGATGAATCTGGGGGAAGAGCACGAGAGGAACAAGAGAAAAACCACTCTGTAGCAGTACGAACTACAACACAGCTTAACATGAAGTATCCAGTGGAGATGGAGTATCCTATTGCTCCTCAAACTACTGTAAGAACTGATCTGAGATTTCCAATCCAGCATAGAGAATGCAACAGACTTTAACAAAATACTGTTTAAAATAGTTCAACAAAGAGGCTATTAGACTGGGGAGCTCTCATGCCTTCAGCAGGGTACCCTAACCAAACAAATCAAATTCTAAAGCAGTCAATGTACTTGAATCTAAGAAAACAAAACTCAAGAAAAACTAATCATCAATAGCCAAGCAGATTTCCTTGAATTGGAGAAAATGAACCTCAAGTAAAACTATTATAACCACCAAATAACTAAATTTTCCCCAACAAGGCAAACATTTATGTTATAGCCAATTAAATAATTTCTTTACTCTGCTTCCCTGTCTTTTCTATAAAAACCTCTGCCCTAGGCCCCACCTACAGAGCCACCCCTAACCATTTTCAGATTTGGTGCTATCCCACTGGAATCGCTGTTTGTTCAAATAAACTTTTCAAAATTTATCATTTTACAATACCATTAAAAAACACTAGAAAATGGGGCCCCTGGGTGGTTCAGTTGGTTAAGAGGCTGCCTTCAGCTCAGGTCATGATCCCAAGGTCCTGGGATCGAGCCCCACATTGGGCTCCTTGCTCAGAAGGGAGCCTGCTTCTCCCCTGCCTGCCACTCCCCCTGCTTGTGCTTGCTCTCTCCTTCTCTCTCTGTGTGTCAAATAAATAAAATCTTAAAAAAAAAAAAAAACACTAGAAATGAAATAAAACAAACATACAAAACACAAGTCCAAATGTTTCTAATTATTACTGAACTTGATAAAATTAGTAATTTGAAGACTACTACACAAGTTTTAAACACTGTTTCTATACTGACTTGTGTTAGAGAACCAATAAGCAAGCATTTTGAGTACTCCCAGGCTAGAGTCTGGCCCACTGACACCTTCCTCTAGCCTCTTGCTCCAAAGCCCTAAATGGACGTTCAGAGGAAGCCCCAAGGCTAAGCAAAGCACTGCAAACACAATGCTTGAAACATGTCACCCCGTGCATAGCTGACCACCAAGGCCCATTAGTTGTGTGAGATAAGCCATCTGCAAATCAATTCTATCAAGATTTCTCTTCCAATAACTTTTTCCTATTAACTTAAAAAAAAATGGCATGTGAAAATTATGTACATGGTAAAATGAGTTTCTCATCTCAAATCTAGAAAAAACAGAACATAAAACCAACAGCTAGGTAAGTATTTGCTACATTTTGATCTATCATTCATTTAACCCCTTCAACATATTTCTTTGGTTAACATCAGGTACTGGATTTATATTAAAAGCGGAAAATATATCAAGCAAATAAATATGCTTCAGTCAGAAATCATCAATGATTCACCCATTTCTAACCTTCCAAAAGTTTTCCATCACTAAAAATGATATGGCTTTCTAGGAATCCACATTAGAAATTGCTTTATTTACTCAATTTGAACAAGAAAGGATAACCTTGGATTTGGCATAATCTGAACAAAGGTAAACACGTGTGAATGAACTGAACATCTGTTGACTTTATCTACTACTATTTCTCCAAATGTGAATGTTATGGTGCTACAAAGTCATTTCACCCAAGTAGGGCCACTATTTCATAGAATTATATTCAGTTTTCCTTTGGCTACAAGATTTCATCTCTGTCAGAAATATTCAGACAGATTTGTTTCTAATGAATAGACATTAGCATCTGGTAAAATTTTTGTTTTCCTCATTAAGAAAAATCCTGGGTGGTTCAGTCAGTTAAGTGTCCAAGTCTTGATTTCCACTCAGGTCATGATCTCGGGGTTGTGAGACTGAGCCTTGCGTCGGGCCCATGTGGGGCTCCGTACTCAGCAGAGAGTCTGCTTGAGATTCTCTTTCTCCCTCTCCCTCTGCCTCTCCCCCCAGCTCTCTCTCTCAAATAAATAGATAAATCTTTAAAAAGAAAGAAAGAGGGACACCTGGGTGGCTCAGTTGGTTAAGCGCCTGTCTTGCCATGGACAAGTTATCGGATTTTTCTAGGCCTCAGTTTTTCTATTCAGGCCCTTCACAGGGATGTTGTAAAAGAAAAACGAGAAAGCATATAAAATGAATTAAAAATGTGAAGCCATACACTGAAGGTACCTAGTTAGAAATATAACTATGCTTTACACCCAGCTATTAGGGATTCACCCACAAGCAGCACCAAGTACCACAGATTGCTTACTACCACACTGAGAAATGACTTTCCAATTTTAGTTTCCACCTTCTGGAAGGCATAAACACTTCATTTTTAGAAGTGCTGTAGAAGGAAGAGGGAATAGGGAAGAGGAAAAGCCACAAGTGAAAAAAAATTACTGAGGCAAAATGGTTGCTTTTTACAAGTCAAGGGGTTACTTGAGGTTCAAAGAGCAATACCAACCAAAACAAATGAAAATATTTATGTTCAACATCCCCATACATATCTGGGCTAAATTAGGAACCATCAATAGCAATTTAAAAGAACTTGCAGGGCGACTGGGTGGCTCAGTCGGTTGGGTGTCTGCCTTTGGCTCAGGTCATGATCCTGGGGTCCTGGGATCCAGCCCCACATCAGGCTCCCTGCTCGGCGGGAAGCCTGTTTCTCCCTCTCCCTCTGCCCTTCCCCCCTTGCTTGTGCTCTCTACCTCTCTCTTTCTCAAATAAATAAAAATCTTTAAGAAAAAATAAAGAACTCGCTAAAAAAAAAAAAGAACTTGCTACACCAATATAAAAACCAAAAAGAAAAAATAAGGCCACAGACTACAAAATGTTACAAATATGCATGAAAAAAAGTAGCCACATATACACCTGAGTGCTCCTCCCACCCCCAAACCCTCCAACAAAACAGTAAGGTTGAGGAGGAAACAACAGGAATATGGCTTTGTCATATTCTCCCTTTAGATGGAGACACACTTGAACATCTCCTTCTAAGCAAGCAGGGAATACAGGATTAGATCTGTCAGAATGATGAGACGGAAGAACAGACAAAGAAGCTTGAAAACATGACTAATAATGCAGAGTATATGCACATAACTGAGATGAGGTGAATACTGGCAATTGTCCTACGTTAGTGGACATTTAGACATACAACTTTTAGTGATGTTATTAATGACTCTATTACACTGCTGTCAAAAATACTTTTTAACCATTTCTATTATATAATACAATATGTCTGACATGTAGTTATACATTCAGAAAACAAAATCATCTACTGTCATTACTTTGTGTATCTAAAAACTTTAAAACTTACTAGATTCCACTGTCATCTGAAGCAAACTATCAATGACATTAGAGAGGAGTCCTTTACTGGATATTCGGAGATGATTTAGTATTACTGGAACAGCTTGATACTCCAAAAACAAGACTTTTCCTTCATCTGTCTTCAAGTCCAAACAGAGAGAATCAAATGCCTGAGCCAGGTAGTCAGCTGAAAAACAGTACATTAAATCAACTGCCATTATTAGTAATAGCTGGAAAGAAAAAAGGAAAGGAAAGGAAAAGGAAAGAAAGAAAGACGAAAGGAAGGAAAGGAAGAAAGAAAGGAAAGGAAGAAAGAAAGAAAGGAAGGAAGAAAGAAAAAGAAAGAAAGAAAGAGAAAGAAAGAACCATCACTTAAATTTAAAAGGGAAACAAAAATTAAATGACCAGAGATAACTGGCTAAATTTAGAATGTTAGAACCCAAATGCTTGAAATGAGGAGAGAAGAGAAATTACACTACAATGGGGTAAATTTCATTCATATTTTAACACCAAAATAACAATAAATTCCATTTCTTTTTTATTACAAGAAAACAGTTGATGTTTAATAGTAAAGACCACAGTAATGTTTATTTTTCATATTTGATAACTACCATATGCTTCCAAAAGTGTTTTTACCTTTACCCAGCTTTGGAGATATTTTTTTGTTGCTAAGTGTTTACCTACTTCAAAATGTAACTTTATGCAAACTTTTAAATGAAGATTTTTGTCTCTTAATAAAGATCAAACAGCCATTCAAAGACAACTTCAGAGGACTAGATGTGCTCTAGTGTTACCTTTTGTGATATATCTGCCATTAACACAGCATGGTTTTGCCAAGGCCAATGTTATGATGGCACCGACTAGATCAGAATCCCTGGAACTTTTTGAGTTAGTGTTTTAGGTTCCTTTGGATAATACCCAGAAGTGGAATTGTTGTATCATCTGATAGTTTTATTTTTAATTTTTGTTGAACTCCATACTGTTTTCCATAGTGGCTCCATTTTCATTTCAATAGTTTTACCTTAGCCAAGACATGGAAACATGTATCTGTTACCTAAGTATATATTGATGGATGAATGGATAAATAAAATGTGGTATAAAAAGAATAAAAAAAGAATCCCTCGAACTTTCTTTATTTTCATATGGTAGTTCTATTTTTAATTTTTGGAAGAACCCCCATCCTGTTTTCCATAGCGGCTATACCAATTTACATTCCCACCAATAGTGCATGAGGGTTCCCTTTTCTCCACATCTTTGCCTGGAACTTTCTTAAAGATGTTCCACAGATGATTGGGGAGCCTGTAAAGCCAGGATTGAGAAGCACTAATTTAACCAGAATCAATGCAAATGAAATATTAAGATACTTATATCATTACAGTTCAATACACCAAACAACCCAAATCAGTACTCTTACAACAATTTTACATAGTGCTTTTAATTGTACAAGAATACTCCAGTTTCCTAAACTCTTTCAATATACTATTGAAAGGAATAAAAAAAACTGTTTGTGCTGTTCAAACTAGTGAGTTAATTTTTCTTCTGAGATTTCTGTTTAAAGAAGGCTCGAAGGTACTTTGAAATACACTGAAAATATGACACAGAATCACCCCCATTAAAATTTACTATCTTCTGGCTGATGTGTTGTATTTCATCTTTGCTGTTTTAGCTTACATAAACTAAAGAAGTAATTTAAAAGCTTAATTATTAAGAATGAAAAGCTGAGGGGTGCCTGGGTGGCTCAGTTGGTTAAGCGACTGCCTTCGGACAAGGTCATGATCCTGGAGTCCCAGGATCGAGTCCCGCATCAGGCTCCCTGCTCAGCAGGGAGTCTGCTTCTCCCTCTGACCCTCCCCCCTCTCAGGTGCTCGCTCTCTCTCTCTCTCTC